TTCCTGTCTGTCTGCTCAACAGAGGCGTCCCCTGGCACGCTGGGAAAGTGAGCCATTGCAAAGGAAGTGCATCCTCCTCGGCGTCCCCGCCCAGGGCTCCGGGCCCCGCCGACCCACAGCGAGCAGCTCGCCAGGCGCCCCGAAACTAGGTCTGGGGCTGCGCCTCTGCGGCCTCCTGGAGAAGCAAGCCCCACTTTCTCCGAGCAGGCGGGGGAGGCGGAGAGCATTTCCTGTTGTGCAGCTGAACTGAGCGGAGACGTCATTGCATTCAAATTCCCTCGGGTGTCAGCGGACGGGGCCAAAGTTCAGGCCCTTCCAGGGCGGGCCGAGCGCAGCGGCGGGCGAGGGCAGGGCGGTCAGGGCTCCCGGCTCCTGGAACGAGTCCCAGCGCCTGGTGCCCGCACAGCCGGGCGCAGGGACGCGGCTGAGCTGCGGGGGGAGCCCCTTTTCCTCCCAGAATGAACCAAGCCGGGCGACTGCTGTGGGCTGGCCTCTCCGTCCGGCGTGCTTTCCAGGGTGAAGGCGAAGGCGTGTGTTTCCAGGGGTCTGGAGGAAGCACTTTCCTTGCGCAAGCTTCTTCGCCTAATTTTTAACGTAGGTGACTCTTTTTCCCACCAGGATTGTTTTTAAATAATCAAAAGTGAAAATCTTTTCAGTGTTGTTGCAATTATGTCTCTTCGATTTCTGTCTCCTATTGTGGATTCCTCTTAACTGTCAGATAAAGAGGAAAAAGAAGGTATCTGTACTGCATAGCTTCCCTGAGGCCAAAGGCAAGGAGACTGCCTTACACATCTCTGAAGCATATGTTTTCATTATTCAAACACCCATTACACAACTTGGAATGCCCTTTTACTTATGAAGTCCTTAATTTATCATATCTCAAATGTCTAATATAAAAAGGAAGTCTCTTAAAAATCTTTCAATCTTGTACTTACTCATTCTAATAGCACACAAAACTTTTTTGGCCAGAATGTTTTAAAATGGAAATTACCCAGTCTTATAAAAATAATGGTGATTGTTAAAATTTCCTTTATCCAAAATTCCCAGCCTTCCCTTTACTTTCAAACCATAAACCAGATTATAACCATATGTAACTTGAGAGAAGCGGTGGTTTCAGGTTCAGAAGGGTTAAAAATAAGACCATAGGGTATTGTATAACCATTTTTAGATTAAAAACTGAATGGCATAATGTGAAAATGACCCTGTCAATTAAAAAACAAATTACAGATTCTGTTTTTCTCAAGGTGAATCAATGTTACAGATGTTATATTGTGCCAACATCTCTAACATTTGCACTAAACAATGTTTTACATCATTACATGAAATTAAAATATTTAGAGTTTCACAAAATGTAAACTACAGACTTTGGGTGGTAATGATATGTCAACGTAGATTCATCAGGTGTAATAGATGTATCACTTTGGTACAAAATTTTGAAATTGAGGGATAATGAGGGGGGAGGATATGGGGAATCTCTGTTCCACTTAGTTTTGCTGTGAACCTAAAACTGCTCTAAAAAATAAATTCTATTTTAAAAAATGTATGTTTAGGGTGTTGTAAGTATCATGGTATTTACAGTATGTACTGCATGATAACCTACAGATTTACAAGTAAATGATGAATCCTAAGAATTGACAAAGAAATAATCATCTTGATGCTTTCATGAAGTTCATCACCTGGGTCTATCCCTCCTTGATAAAGAAGTTATTTTTTTTTAATTATTGAAAAAATTATATTTTAAATGTACATAAAAGATATTACAATTTAATATTTGTTAGTTGTCCTATCTAGTCATTTACTACTTTAGGACAATATAAAGGTATCCTTGGCTTTCACTTAAAGTGACCCAAAGCCCCTGAGAACTTTTTTTGTTGTCTTATTTTCTAAACATCTGAATAAAACATTTCAGTACTTTATCACACAATATCTTAAACCTACATAGTTTATTATTGTTTACCATTTGTTTTATGTATTTTCCTATCCCCATTTTATCAAGAAACTGGCTCAGAACACAGGGCTAGCATCAATGTATGGATCTCAGAAGGGCCCCTTTAAATCTTGTTGAAAAGGAATGCCACGCCCTTCCCCTTTCCATACTCCACAAACTCCAAACTAAAACCACACCCTCTGTACTTCCTAGGATGCTCTAGGCTGGCTTGGTAGCCAGTGCCTCTGCCTGTGAGTGCTGGGAGGGGCCTAAAAAAATCACATCCAGCTGCTTTACCTGCCTAGTTTGAAGACAGCAATTGTTAAACAACTTCTGTGAGCTTCTCAAACTACTATCAAAGGATTCTTGATTGTAAAAGTGATACCTATATGTCCAATCCTGGGAAACACTGCAGAGGTTGTGTCTTCAGCGCGATCTCATACCAACATTTTCAGTGTCTTTTTTCCCTTCATATCAATCACCAATTTATCCATTAAATCTTTGCAGTGATTCCTGAGTTTTTTTATTAGAACATACTTACACCTAATCCTTTATATCATCTATCAATGGTATGTAACTAACACTCCACGAACTGCAAGTGACTGCCCAAATACTGTCTAAGCTCACTGAAGGTTTTATTCAAAGTTCATGTGTTCTGGTTTATACTTAATTGCTAGTGATGGCACTTGGAAAGGACAAAAGAGGGATGACTAAATATTATCCTATTTTATAATCTTAATTTCAAACTAAATGAAATCAGTATTACCATAAATTTAGTACAGACTGAGATATAGACACCAGTACAATAGCAATGAAATAAATCAACTTGTGAATAAATACATAATTGCAGATATAAACTATAATAATAAACTATGAACTCATCATGTTCCTGGTGCTATTTTCAAATGCATCTCTGTTTTATCATGAAAGAGAACAAATAAACTGTGAGGATAAAAGGATGCTTTGCAAGGTAACGTGTTTTTACACTCTTTAGAAACTGCCAGAAAAAAAAAAACAACACATTTTTTAAATGTTCCAATTTTATGCTTTCAAGAACATTATGAGAATACACAATTCCAATGCAGGAAAATATACCCATTTCATCCAATGGAAAAGGATTGAGACTTGACATTTCCCAAGTTAATTCTTTAAAAAACTCATTATTTAATTCAGGATTGGTCTCATTTACATGTGTAGTTATGACATGAGAGTAGTGGTTTGCGGCAGTAATGATTTGGGTCTCCATGTTCCTGAGATCCCGGTTCTCTACAACAGAGCCTCCACAGGTTCTTGGATGCTGAATAGTCTTTGATATAACTTGTCTGTGAGAGGCTGACTGCTCTCACAAGCTGACATCACTGAAAATATTCAGAAGGGCATACTAAGTTCTTATTCTTCTCTCATGATATCCAATATTGAGTATTCTTCTTCTCAAAAGAGCATTCACCAATCATGTGTTGTTTTTCCAGAAAACTGGCTCCCAAGAAATGCAAGGACAAAACCATCGGGATGCTCTTCTTGCCTAGGTCTATTTCCATTACACACTGTAGGACGGCAGTGCTTCAAGAAGCCAGTTCTCTCTGAAATCAGAGCCCAGCTCGAAGTTAACTGTATGCCGCAGCGTCAGATGAAGATTATGGCTCACTGAGTGAACAGGAATGGGCAGGCACGAAGACAAGTGTACTATACAGACACACACATGCAACCACATGAAT